TCCTTTGGCCAAGTTTGGAGACCCCGGCCATGCATATAAACCATACGTCTCCGATTCCGGAGTTCCCGGCAGGAAGTGGTTAAGAAAGGAAACTGGGATTGGGGTTGAATTGGTTAGTCACTAATGAACGTTTTCCAGATGTTTGTACATAGTCTGAAAGCCCATTCTGTCCTTTCTTAGTGGATACCGACTAGATGATGTTTGAGTCTTGCTTGATTGATTAGAGACATTCTCACTAGGTGGTGTCAAACTTTGTTTTGTGCACAAGTGATGGGCTCTGCTGCCTGCTTTTGGGCTTATTTGAAGTGGGATTTGTGTTGAATCTCTTCCTACACTTGCACCTGAAAATAGACAAAATTTCACAAATTGAAGTTGCCGAATCAAACACCAGTGGCCTTCAACATGCCTCTGATTTCTGTCCCCTGGTAGCTTACTTCCTTGTGCCATTGCACACACTGCACCTCTGATCATGTCCATCTTCAGCTTCATCTTCTGTGATGATTCTGCCACACAGGTCTTTAGTGTCCTTCAGTGCAGCGTTATAAACATTTGTGGATAACCCAAAAGAAAAAATATTAAAGATCAAGATTAATCACGTTGTATTTCTTGTAGTTTTTCTGCTGTGCTTGTTTCATTTCTAGAAACACACACAGTTCCTTAGTCTGTTCAGAACAGCTCTTGCATGGTCATAAACCTCTGGTTTCTTCTTCTCTTCTAAATCTCATCGACTTTTTGCACAGCTTTTACAGTGCATTAAAATTGAAGGTTATCACTGAATGGTAATGGGAAAATTTGTGAAAAGATTTCCTGTTCACGATGGCATTTCAGAAAGCAGGAAAATGTTTTCCTCTTGTGTGAAAAGATGTGAAATATGTTCCCCACTGCTGTGAAAAGGCATGAATATATTTTTGCACTAGTTTGAAAACCTTTTGTGAAAAGGTGTGAAAATGTTTTCTCACTTTTGGGAAATTGTTTTCACATTTTTTGAAACTCTAATGATTAATGAATTCCCATGGAACAGAAAAAGCATGAAAACATTCCCATTCCCAGGTTCACTTTCAGTTGCAATGTACCGTTCATGAATGGCCAAATTTTGGTTAGTTTTGAAGGTCACCATTTTCATTAAATGTGGTCAAACAAAAGATCCCAGATTCTGGGCATTTGCAGAATACTGAGGTTGTCTGAAATCGTCAGATTAACATTTGCCCAACTATCATATTGTCTGTCATATGCATGTATTTACCGTAGGTGGCAATTTAGGCTTACTGTTACATGACTTTAATTATGTACAGCACACAAGCATGATGTATTTGTTATACAATATTGTGAGAAAACCTGTCCACAATGTACATGTATGCAGTCACATGCTATCAATCCAGTTCATGTATGTATTGACAGCAGAATACCATTGTTATTTGTGGTTTTGATCAAGGACTATGAGTAACAAGTTTTATGGCATTGCTAATCAAAGTTTCTGGGCTCCACTTGTTTCCGAAACAAACCGTCCCCTATTTCTGTCTTCTGCTGTTTTATTTGTTAGAAATCTGGAAGATAACTTGTGCAGTTTGGCTTTTATGTGTACTTCCATGCATTATTCACATACACTGATTTATTGGTTAATAATTTTGTAGACAGTGATCAAAGCTACATGTGTATTATCATTCAGAGCTTTAGAAATCCTAGATTTTTAAAAATTTGTGTGTTTAAAAAAAATTGATACTATTATGAACTTCAGTCATTTAGAACCCAAGCTACAAGTAAAAAGGAAACTCAAAACCCAAAAATCTTACAGTATGATTTATTCTTCTAACAGGCATGTATTACCATTACACCTTACATGGAGATTCTGTGTCTTGATTGGCTGAGAGCCAGTCACATGGCATTCACTATTTTAGCTATCTGGTTGTGTACGGCCAAAAAACTATACCTGTAGCAACCACAGCACTGTATGCATTACCACCAGCATTAAAAGGAAATGCATTCCGGTGTGCATGTTGCGCACTACATGCTTTCCAAAGAGCTAATGCTGCAGAGCTGGATTCAAAGATTTGGTGAAGGGGTATTTTGGAAAAGTGTTTTTAAATTTCTAACAACAAATACATGTACATTTATCTTATTCAGTAGTCATATTTTATATGTAGTTACATGTAGATCAGATTAATCAGTTATCGCTTTTAATAACCTAAACACTCCTGAATCACCTAAATTTGATGTGATTTTGTGCATACATCCTAGGGAGTAGGACTTGAATCAAGCAGAATCTGTGGGAGAACTGTTACAAAACAAATATTGACTGCTTAATACTATGATGTAGTGACACTAGTCCCCTTCAGTGATCCGTGGAGCCTTTCTATTTTCTGTTGGCTTCTCCTCGGGAAAATACAGTACAATTCTCCATGGATCACCTCAAGAAGCTAGTTTTACTATATTACATGAAGCAGTCAAAATTTGTATACTAGAATGTTTCTGTTTCCAGCTGTCTTTTTTGTTCCAAATTAGGAAAATATATTGTGTAATAATATAATATAATTCTGGCATTTTTAGAGACAGTGCATGGCTTTACGCATACATTCAATACTGTACATGTGATTTCAGATTCAGTAATTGTATTGATTCAGTGTTTGATTTAGTAAGTGGTTATTTAAGCCATATGTTTATGATATGTTGAGATTAGTAGAGTCTTTTAAAGATAAGATTCCAAGATGCATATACCTTTATGTATTTTTCATAAATTGGACCATATTTGGAATTTCAGTCATTCCTTACAGGCAAATTTCTGAAGAAACTCTGTCAAAAAGCTTTGAGATGTGCAATACTTACAGAAACAGTCCGCCAGGGTTGTTTTCTTTACCAACAATTTTCAGGAAATAGTTCCTGAGGTTTTTGCTTAATTAACACCAATTGTTTCTCCCATAGAACTGAATATATAATTCACCATTTCTCCATATAATGCACCATTTCTCTGCGTCTGTGCTAAATGATGTAGAAAGCTCTTCACAGTAACTTTGATTTTGGTTCTGGTGAGTTATTACTTAAATGAAGGACCATGTGAAGATAATTGGTGTGGAACTTGCATGTAAATGGCACATTAGGACATACACTGTATGTTTTGCAAATGTCTAAACTGTATAATTTGACGGGATACCCTGTTTGGTTGAAAGTTTTTGTAAAGTTTCCCTTCCATAGCTGTTTGCTGACAACTGAGGGTGGTGATCCTATAAAGGCACATCAAATACAACCATGTCTTTACTGCATATCACACACACAGTATTTGCACTACGCCCTCTATGCTTCACTTAGTGTTTCTAAAGGGCTTCACTTAGTGTTTCTAAAGGGCTTCACTTAGTGTTTCTAAAGGGCTTCACTTAGTGTTTCTAAAGTGCTTCACTTAGTGTTTCTAAAGTGCCAACTTCTTGCAGATACTTTGAGGAGACACGAGGACAAATTGCAACAAATATAGTCTGGGCAGGAATCAAAGCACTAATGTTTGGCTTACAAAACAAGCTTTTAAACCACTGAGCTATGCAAACTGATCTTCCAGATGTATTAACCACTTGCCGCCGGGGATTCAGATACGGTCCACATATTCTTTATACCTGTGGCTGGGGTCTCCGAAATCGGACAAAGGGAACTGGGCCTTGTAACAAAAGACCGTACTCATAACAAAAGACCAGGCTGTTGGGAATTATCAACATTTTTTCACTCTCAATAGTGGAGATAATCCAGCCTTGTTTTGAAACAGTATATAACAGTTTTGGGGATTTAGTGCGAGCAGATTACCACCGGGGACAAAAGCACTTCAACACCGGAGCGATGAGCCACACAGCACCACTGCACACTAATCTGGCCCCAATTGAAAAGAGGTCAGCAGTGCACTGTGCCAGTTTTGCGAACAAAAGAAAATTACGTAACACCGCAAAATCTGGGCTGTTTTTACAAAGCGGCAGGCCTGGCTGAAATACTCCAGCATCAATAGATGTTGTCTGTCGGATTAGAGTAGAAACCAGACAGTCTTTCATGTGGGTGTAAGTGTCCAGTAAATGAAGATATGAAGTTTTAAAGAATTTTGAAAACAGAAAAAAATGATAATTATCCCGTCCCAGCATCATCACCATTGATAATTGCAACTGGCACCAAGTGGTTAAGGAATAAGTCTTTTTATAAACCTCACTGATCACGCTCAGTAGAGGGTGCACTGAATTGCACCACAAATTTGTGAATATTTCACAATCAACCAAAGAGAGGGCACAGAATTCCTAGCCTCAGTGACTCTTTGGTGGGAACTGCATTGTGCTGGCTCACAAACACACGCCCTGTATTTGATGTGCAAAGCGTCATACCAGGGGATACACATAGTCTGACAGCGACTGTTCCAAATCCTTTCACCCTGTTCTATTTTTGCATGATTACGGAGGAGTAGACACCACGCGATAGTACTCATTAATTATATGTTGTGTATATGGGAGGACTTACAAACTTTTGGCAACAAAGACAGAAAGGGAAAAAAATGAGATGGAGTGAGAACTTCATTGTGGATTTTGTGATATGAAATACAAACATATTTCATCTCCAGCTCAGATGTAAATTATGAAATGTGTTTGTCCCGCATTATTGCCCCATTACGAACAAAATTCTCTATCGAAAACCACTGTCCCTGCCAACATGGCCCTTTTCTAGTGCGATGACATGCGGCCAAATCCTCTGCATCGAGAGCAAATTTATTGATGCATTATTACTGATAATGGCATTATTCATCATAATTTACTACTTTATAAAATGACCGCTTCCTCTCAGGGAGGGGCTGTAACTCTACACGTTGTAGAGGAAACAATATCAAGCTGACAAGAAGTGCTACGTATCACTGCCATTACATCTTCATTTCTTCATGTCTTATGTTATTGTAATTGTTTTATCCAATTTCTGTCCAGCTGGCTCATTAATCAGATATTTCAGTCTAGCCAAGCATAACCGCTGACGTAGGTGCTTTTGTAACAAAAAAGTCACAGTGCTGCTGCTGCTGATGGCAGTATTACTGTGGCATTATCACTGCTTTTTAATGGCTTGTTATCAGAGTCATTCTAAAGGGAAATATATCCAGTGTTGGTAAACAGATTGAACCAAGTCCACAGATTTATGTGCAGAAAATACTCTGAGTAATCTTAGTAACAGCCTTCTCCCTTCCGTTCAACTGACCAATTGTAAGACTGGGATTGTGGACCGGTTGTGACATTGCCACAGTTGGGTTGACTGGGAGGACTGTCAGCAAGTTAGCCATTCAAGGTGGAGAAGAACCCCAGCTTCTTTGTTGGAAAGAGATGTTTTGACTCTGCAGCCATAGGCCATCTGTGTAGTTTGGGAGCATCGACAAAATGATGCGTATGTGTGACACGCTCATTGGTCAGTACCCTGTTGCCTGTTTGTGACTTGGCAGGTGTGCGTTTATACATATATTGCTCATTTCGCTTGGAGGTCAAGAAACTCTTTGTTGTTGTCAGGGACCTGATGAGCTAAATAAACTCTTTGAACATTGAGCACTTGTCCTAGTTAGTACACCACATCTCTTCCCTTCTCACATGCAGTGTGGTTTGGTCACTTCTTCCTCATTCGGCAGCCATGTTTTGGTGAGAACATACAGAAACTGCTGGCAGAAGAAAAACTATTCCGGCATACAACGTTGACTTGCATTAATTATTTTGAGGAAACAAGCCATCATAGGCTATTGCTTTGAGTAATTGTTTTTTACATATTGGTACAAACATTGCGAAAAGATGGATGAACATAAAGACAACTTGACACATAACTCATCTGGTTGCCTTGAGGAGGTGTGCACATCCTACAGTGAGCGGCAAGTTTTTGCTGCTATCTTTGGCATCATTTTTGTGGTGGGAACTGTTGGCAATGCCTTGGTCATAGCCGCTGTGATCCTATCCAGGAAACTCCGCAATGCTACAAACATGTTAGTGCTAAACCTGAGCATAGCTGACTTTTTGACGTGCGTCTGTGTCATCCCTATCAATGCAGCAGCTATACTAAGTGAGGACAGCTGGCCCCTGGTCAATTCCTCTTGCAAATTTGCAGGCTTTTTGTTGGCAGTTTGCACTGGTTGCAGCCTGAACAACCTGGCCTGTATTGCCATCAACAGGTACGTCATGATCACCAAAAGCAAGTCAACTTACCGGACGATGTTCAACAGGCGACGGACCTTGGCTGGGGTTATCCTGACTTGGCTGGTACCCTTGGCTGTTGTGATCTGCCCAGCTTTGACTGGTATTGTGGAAATAGCTTTTAATCTTGATGCTTCCCTCTGCACATGGCTCTCACTTTATCCTGAGCACCTACATGCATATCCGTTTAACTTCATTTTCTTCGCTTTATCAGTGCCGATTCAGGTCTCCCTCATATTCTTGAGTTACATCAGCATTCTTTGTCACATCCGCACCCACACCAAGCGAGTCCGACCTGACAGCAACCTCCAGATACAAGTGACCAAGAATCTTGCACTTGTCATGTGTGTCTTCATGTTGTGTTATGTACCCTCGTGCATAAAGCTATTGCTTTCCAGTCCTATGCCTATGTGGTTTCGGCGTGCATCTTTTGCAATCTTTCTGGCTAACAGTTGTGTGAATCCACTTATTTATGCAGCCAAGCACCCTAACTTCAGGGTGGTTTTTTGCTGCATAATCCGTGGGAAATGGAAAGACATACCAGAAAGGGTTTCTTTTCAGTTCTGCAAGTGATCTTAAAATGACGATAGTCAAACTTCTGTTCCAGGTCTAAGAATGTGTATAGTCATAACAAACAAAGCTCACATCTCGCCTACAAATTCATGATATTTGTTACAAATCTGTTTCTACATTTGAGGATAAATTCTATAGTTTGCTTTTGGACATATTAGTTGCCTTGAATCACCCTAAACTAGAATGCCATTGTGGTTATAAGATATGAATATTTTCCCTTTCAATCTTGTATCCGAATATTCAAATTAGAACCAAAATTTAATATTCGATAGCCGATCAAATTTCTGCCTTGCCCTTCCATGGGTGTGTCTTTGTTTTTACATTCCATTGGGGATCCTGAACAACAGAGGACAATGGAGTCCCTGATTCACCGAGGGTTCCTGATTGACAGTCGTGTATAAGACATATAGGTGGCCTTCCAAAATAAGGTCAAAGTATTAGCAATTTAAGAGGAACAATAGGGGGGCCTCAGTTATATAAGCAAATGTGGGTGCAGGTGCTTGTGTGTCCAGAATATTTTTGTCAGCGCAATAAGTTGAGAATTACTTCGTGTATGATCCTGGGAAGACTATCGCACTTGGGCAGAAAAGGTAAAAGGTCCCAATGACTAAAACAATTGAAATCTCGTTATCATGATTACTTGAGAAATACTTTGCATATTGATTTCCAATTTAGTTTGTGGATTGCTCTTAACCATATGCTGCCAGTTTTGGGTACCTTGGGTTTGTATGCATAGCAGGGGTGCCTGAAATCGGACAAAAGAGCTGGGCCTTATAACAGAAAGACCGTACTCAGAACAAAAGACCCGCTGCTTGAAATTGCTCAGGTTACATTTATCGGAGGTAATCCGTCATTGTTTTGAAACAGTATACCACTGTTTTGGGCATAGTGCACCTGCTGATTAGCACCACGGACAAAAGTGCTCCAGCTCCCCATCGATGAGCGATACAGTACCGCTGCATGCTAATCCAGCTGCATTTGAAAAGACGCCACCGGCATTCATTGGGAACAAAGGAAATTATGTAACACCTTACCATTCTGGGCTCTCACTACAGGGCAGCAGGCCTGGCTGAAATACTTGGGTATCAATGGAGGTTGTATGTCAGATTAGAGTAGACACCAGACGGACATTCGTGTGGGTGTAAATGCCCATTAAATAAAATTATGATTCATTGAAGAATTTTGAAAATGGAAAATCGCCTGTATGGTTAATAATGCTGGGAAGCCTTGCGCATTCAGGGCTGAAAATTCAAAGATCAGCTTGATATTGGTAAGTTGAGAAATACATTGGGTAGGATCTTCAAATATGGCTTGTAGTTGTACATTGTTTCGGGTAATCCCACAAGCTTGTTGCATGTAAGCCTGACAGGTCAAAGGTAAAGGTCACAATGACTAAAGCCATTAAAACAAGTCTTGTTTGCGATCCAAAAATTAAAGGTATAGGCATGGGCTTGGCAGGGAATTTTGTTAGTTAACAAAATAAGATGGTGACAAAATTCCTTTCTGCAAGATCTCTGTAACCAAGAGTTAACATGAGCCCTTTGTGGAAATTTTTGTGATGTTAATGAAAACATCATTGTTATGGTACATTTCTGTTTTGCATGAAAACAGCATCCAGGTGCCTCCAAACTTTGTAGGGGGATGTTTATGTGTTCTGCATTGTAAATATGAATTTATGCCAAGGGTTGAGTTTTATTGATTTTTTATTCTAGTGGACCTCTTTAATAAGAGGTCCTTTAGAGTTTGCAGTTCCCGTTAATATAATGGGAACCTTGTGCCATCGGGAGTGAAATACAGTGAAGACCAAAGGAAGTTTCCTCGTCACAAGCAGAATGTTGATTTATAAACAGTGCTCTTATGAATGAGGTTGACTGACTTTATTTGTTCCTATTTTCTTCTGCAAGTAATTTTTGTACTTTTCCAAAACAGATTGATTTGATACTTAATTCATAGATTCAAAGTTGCTGTGAGTTAAAAGTACCCATTACAATGACCTCACGGTGACATCCGCAACTCATTTAATATGGATTTAAAAATCTTTAATTGGCGCCCTTTGACAGCTTACCAATTTTTCTCACAGCTAATGTAACAAGAAGGCCTAAAACACTTCTGAAAAGCGGGAAACACCTCCAAGTGTGCTACATGTATGTGCAAAACAGACTCAAACTCTAGTTTAGAGTGTTATTTATTTTTGAACATTTTCAGTTATACCCACTCGATACCGTGTCCCCTGGAGTCAAGTAATGCCATAAATGGTAACATCATCCTGTACATTTTGGTGGACATGTGTCCATTATTCTGCAAAATCCATATACTTTATGCATGTTTTCTTACTCGACAACATGCTGTGTAGCAGATGCATGTGTGGTAAGTGTGTTTTTCTCCAACCCTTAGAAATGTGGTAAAGCCATGTGTTCTGTTGAAAACAGACTAGAAACTGTCATTTATCTGGGTGTTAAATCAATAGCTATCAAGAAAGCATTTCAGTTTGAATTCATTTGTAATAGTTTCATTACACTGCAATTGATGTTTGTAACCAGCTTATAGCATGAGTAATACCTTTGGGTCTAACTATCTGAAATTTGTTGACCGTTGGAAGTTTCACCCCACAAATGTACAGAAATGTACGTATCAAACTTCTGTAGTAATTTTGATGTTGATGATAGGCTTTAAAATGGAGGAAACTTTAGCTGTCTTGTGATACATGCAAGTCATTTTCTTGGGATGTTTAAATTTGTCATGGAAAATTACTTGCTTTGAGTCATGCATGTTGACATCTAATGTAAGCATTTTTATATCTTGGAAATTCTGAAAAGCCATGTACATTGAGGCAAAGCATTGTTACTGCTTTCTGCATTGGATATTACAGCACTTAATTGTTAGCACGTTTCTTTTCATATTCAACAAAACCTTTGTCAATAAAACAGTCTTGTGAAGTTTTGAACACTGTGATTTATACTTTTCTATCTGATGAATATTGTGTGAACATGACTGTCATGAAATGGGTTGTGAGTGGACCGAGTCGGAAGATATTTGAGGGATCTTGAAACAGCATGCCCATCACAACGTATTTTGTGCAGATGTCTGAATTGCATAGTTGACCAGACATCTGTTTTTGGTAGAAATTATTTGAAATGTCCCCTCCCCCTCCAACTACAATCCTGACAACTGATGGCGCTGTTGTTTTAAAGTCATCTGAGAAAATAACAGGCAGTCACTCTACTTACCCTGGGATTTTCTGTGGAAATTATGAACCTGTAGCCTTAGCCCATTAACTGGTTGTTACTTAACCAACTGATCGATAAATGCAGATTCAACCAAAGAATAAACCACACTTGAAAAAGGGCAAAACAGATTTGTACTCAACTAGCCCTGGAACAGAGCCAGTGCCTTAGGACCTGTTTGTTCCAAGTTAATCAAATCATGACATAAACCCGGGAGATTTTCAAGATTTTCCATTCTCAAAATTCTTCAAAAAATCGTAGCTTCATTTAGTGGACGTTTACACCCATTCAAATAACTCTCTGGTGACTACTTTAATCTGACAGACATCTATTGATGGTTGCGTATTTCAGCCAGGCCTGCTGCCATGTAGAAAGAGCCCAGATTGTGAAGTGTTATGTAATTTTCTTTTGTTCCCAAAATTGGCACAGTGCGCTACTGGCGTCTTTTCATCGGGAGCCAGATTAGCATGCAGCGGTATGTATTGCTCATCGCTGGAGTGTTTTAGTCCCCAGTGGTAATCCGCTCGTGCTGAATGCCACAAACAGTGGTATAATCTCTCAAAATAAGGATGGATTTCCTCTGCTATTGACAACTGAAAAAAATGTTGGCAATTCCAAGCAGCTCCGTCTTTTGTTCTGAGTATGGTCTTTTGTTATAAGGCCCAGCTATTTTGTCCAGCATCGGGCTCCCCGGTCTTGTGTTAAAAGCCTATGTACCCGAAACCGGACTCCCTGGCAGCATATGGTTAAAAGATTCCTCCTGATACAACCAACCATGGAGGAAGGAACACATTCCTCCATGATACGACAGAGTATTCACTATTCAGCCTTTGACCTAAATGACAAATTCAGTACATTTCTTGTGCACAAAAAGTTCTTTGATTTCCACAGAATGTAATTTGCAGTTTGATCTTTGTTGCTTTTAAAATGTGGTTTGGAACCAGGTACGCCTTCAAGATCACAGTACGTACACACAAGTATAGGTCAGACCTGCATACCTTCATTGTTGAATGCTCAGCATGGGTGACACAGACAGCATGCTGAGCCCACCATCCTCAGAGAAGGTGTGCAGAAGATGCATCCATGTACCAAAATGGCTGAAAGCAGATAATTAAATAACTGGTTTGGGTTTTTTTCTTTTTATCTTTATTTTTCCCCATGTTTGACTGTCTCATGGGATGCTTGATACGCTTTCATACAACAATCAGTATGGGATTTGCAGTACCAACTATCCTTTGTCGCATGCGCACTGCCCCGTGGAATACACCAGAGTGTGTACTTTGGCGCATAGCCAAGCCTTTCATGTTGATTGTATGTATCTACATGTATACTGTACTGATAAAAGCATTATATGTTGTAATATCATAAATTAAAGATAGCTTCTTCCCAGAAAGGCAGTAACTGTGCATGTTGCCAAGTCAACAATATCATCAGAATAGAAAAGCGATCAGCTTCACTGGCATCGCATTTCCTTTTACTCTAGTTGCATGTTATTATCATATAATCTTACATCAACCTCCTGTCTGGACAGCTCATTAATTTAATTAAATAAAAAGCCCTTTTCAGTCAATTTAGCCATGCATGCCATAATGGACACAGTGGTACTGCCTATTATTTGTCGTAGTGCCAATTAGTAGATTGAAAAAAAGATAAATTCACAGAGATTTCATGTTACAAAGCCTTCACCTGAGCTGACCAATTGCAACTTTCAGTTTTAACCAGTGGTGACATCACCAGAATTGTGGTTACTGCGGTGGCTGTCAGAAACTTGCCAAATGTTCTAGGTTGAGGGAGATCTTTTGACTTTGCGGGCCACAAGCAACATCAAGTGAAATACCAGCATCAGGCCTTTGTCTGGTCAGGGAGTGTTGAGGAATGATGCAAGTTGAAGTGTGACATGCTCACTCAGTTGTATATTGTTACCTTGTGAAGACCTTGCAGGTGTGCAGCTCTCGTGCTTTGAGGCCCCAAACGTCTTTGTTGGGCAGATTGAAAGCTTATTGGACTACATACAGAAGGGGCTTTTTTATGCCGGAGCAAAATCCTCTTGTATTGATCAACTAATTGACAAAGTGTCCATTGCAGGCATTACAGACATTGTGAAAAAGATGGACAGCCTAGACAACTCGTCTGTTTGCCGTGGGGAGGTGTATACATCCTACAGTGAGCGGCAGGTTTTTGCTGCTATCTTTGGTATCATCTCTGTGGTGGGAACTGTTGACAATGCCTTGGTCATAGCCGCTGTGATCCTGTCCAGGAAACTCCGCAACGCTACAAACATGTTTGTGCTAAACCTGAGCATAGCTGACTTTTTGACCTGTATCTATACCATCCCAATCAACATGGTGGCAGTTTTGAGTGAGGACAACTGGCCCCCGCCTAACGCCCCCTGCAAACTCGCAGGCTTCTTGCTGGTACTCTGTTCCAGTTGCAGCCTGAACAACCTGGCCTGTATTGCCATCAACAGGTACGTCATGATCACCAAAAGCAAGGCAACCTATAAGAAGATGTTCAGTGGTCAACGAACCCTAGCAGGGATTATCCTGACTTGGCTGGTACCCTTGGCTGTCGTGATCTTTCCAGCTTTGAGCGGCATCATGGAAATCAATTTTGATCCTGTTTCCTCACTCTGCACATGGATCCCAACTGGTTCTGTTGATGTATTCAGCTTCATTGTCTTTGCTACATGTTTTCCACTTCAGGTCTCCCTCATATTCTGGGGTTACATTAACATCTTTTATTATGTCTACGCCCACAGCCAGCGAATCCGAATCCGACGTGACAGTAACCTCCAGATACAAGTGACCAAGAATCTTGCACTTGTCATGTGTTTCTTCATGCTGTGTATGACACCATTATCCGTAGGTCTGTTGCTTTCCTGTTCTGAGCCTGTATGGTTTCTGCAAGCTGCTGTAGCAATCTTTCTGGCTAACAGTTGTTTGAATCCACTCATTTATGCAGCCAAGCACCCTAACTTCAGGGTGGTTTTCTGCTGCATAATCCGAGGAAAATGGAAAGACATACCAGAGAGGGTTTCGTGCGGATTCTGCTTGTGATCCTGAAAGAAATATGTAGAAATTTAGCTCCCTTCAGGAATTATGCCAATGGTACAAGTGATCTGCAGAGGGCAGTAGGAAAGTTCACAACATCCCACAAAGTGTTTGAATTTTTGGCTTCTGATAGGACAAAGGTCAAGTGTTCATGTATTGAAGGTCTTAGAATGTTTAAAGCAGTTCTGCTTTTGAGTGTAAATAGGCAAAGCTGTTGTGTATTCATAAAGTCCTCAATATTGGTTGATTATGTAACCACTTGCTAATGTTTTTCCACAACTGTGCCAATTTTCATTCCTTTTCATGTTCCGTGTCTTTAGAAATGTAGGAATAATGAGTTGTTGCCGAGACTGTAATTTCTGCTCGAAAAGTTTGTTTTTCTTTCAGAATGGTGGATGCGTGCCGATTGTGAGCATGATTCTTGACTGTTATTAACTTTTGAAAAATACCTACATTACTCAAGAAAGAAATTAAATGCCCAAAGTGTTGGTTACTCTGATTGCAATTGTGGGTTGGGCCTAATATTTGAAGGATATTCACTTGAATGGAAAATGTTTGTATATTAATGTTTATTATTATTAATGTTTATGTCACATGACTGTGTATTAACATTTGATAATGCCTGCTGAGAAGTGATAATGCCCGCGGCATAAATCATGTGCTAGCATATGAATACAAGACAGTTTAATTGGGTTTGACTGGTCAGGAGTCTGTGTGCATGTAATGCACCACGGGCGCACCAAGTTCAATGAAGGGGATTCTTTTGGACAACTTTCAAAAGGAATATACCATAAAATGGACGGGGGTGTTCGGAAAATGAAAGTAAAGTTTTAGAACAAAATTGTTGGAAATCCATCATTTGTTGACTTGTTTTGTCTCTCTGAATAAAAAGGTATTTATGATTGGGAATAAATATGTGCTTGGTCGATACTAACATTTAAGACCTTGCTCTGGAGAACGAATGCTGATAAATGCCATCGCCTGCGGCTCGGGCATTAGTCACGTCCATTCTGCTGAGCCTGTCTTAAACGTACGTTTAAAGTGTAGCTGAAATGAATTATCGTCGACACAGGTTTTCTGCATCTGTGCACTTTTCTTTAATGTATGAAAACCCTTACACACTCACACAAACTCTTTTTTGGTTGAAAATGTGTTGAAAAGTGCACACTTTTAACCGTTCAAAATTATCCATGTTTTCTTGAACAACTGAGGGCGCTGTTGCTGTTAAGGTCAGCTACGGAAGACATGGTTCAGTGCATACGTATTTCTTTTTGAATTTTGATCCCAGAATTTACTAACTGTGAAAACATTCTGAGAGAGGGATTGATGGTTTCTTATTACTGTGCAAATAAACAACAATGAACCAGGAAAGGACGAGAAACTTAGTCCAAGAAAATCTACAAAAATGCAGGACTTTTTGTGTACAGACCAATGTAACATTGAGGCTTCCTCCTGAGATGACATCACAGTTTTCTCATGAATATAGAATTATCATTAACATAAAAACCAAAAAGGCATTAAAGTACCCTGTGAAATCGGGTAGTTGATTTTTTGAATTTTTTTAAATAAAAAAATCGGATGTTTAAAATTTAAATTGGATTTGAATCGGATTTGTATGATTGTAATAAAAATGTGAGACATGTTGGCTCAAAAGGTCTATTCAAAAGCAAGTAAATTAGCTGCAGGTGTAATAATGTTCTTTTATTTATTTATTTTGTGACAAAATTTAACGAATTTGGACTTCAATTAAAAAATTTAAATCAAGTTATTTGATTAAATTCACAAACCATTATGTCTTAGCCTTGGTGAAATGCATGCAGAATAACACCTACGGGTACATGTCCCCTCAGAGAAGACATTTCCTTCAGAGACAAGTACAAACACCTATACAGTACAAAGGATAAAGTGCATGCCAGGTTTTAAACTGAACTCTCAAGTTTTGACAAAAGTAGAGTTCACTAGAATTTGTTACTGGGATACTTATACGTGCATCAAATGACTAATGAGTGAGAAACATGCCATGAACAGGTGCATGCATTTATTTTGCGTGCGACATGTACATGTGTAGCTACAAAATGCTGGTATTTTACCTTGGTCTGTGTGCAAAAAGCAGTCTCATTTTGTTTGTTCGTGTTTGTGGTGTTTGGTTGTGTATCAGAGGCAGGAGGCCATCTTGGCTTTTTCTGAATGAGAAAAGCCGCTCATTTATTCTGTTGCTGTTATCGTGCAAGATGCAGACTTGAGGAATGTATAGAGCCCAGTCTCTGCCTCTTTACATGGTGCTCAATCATTCTCTTTTTGTGAAAGGAAAAGTAATTGATTCAAGCAGCTGCTTTACATGACAAGAACATCTTTGCCTTTCAGAAATGAAAGATTTTTCTGGCTCACAGATAGAAATAAGTTGTGAAAATGATTTCAGTTTTGTGGACACACCTGTTTCATTATCTACATGTAGGTGTTACACTTACAGCTTTCCAGAAGACGTTTATTTGTCACATGATTGTTCAAAAGAGTTCAGATATCATTGTCAAATTCTTTCATTTTAAAACACATTATAAGAGTAACTCACATGTACGTGTAGTGTTTGTAAATAAGCCCTTGTTGTTTAATTGTCTGAAATCCATTGTTCATTCAAACAAAATTTTACCCTGTATTTTGTGTGCATCAGTGTGAAATAATATACATAAATACATTGTACATGTTGATCGGTGTTGTTGAATGTTTCAAACCAATTAAAAGTCCACAACACAGACTTGGGCGTTAAAGAAAATGTGATGATGCAGTATAAAGATATGTCACAAATGACCATCAATTTGTGAATTCCAACTTTGTAAAGAACTGTGGTCGTGGTTCAAAAGTAGGTATTTTCAACTAAAACCAATACCACCCTTGGGCTGTATTCATTGTGGAATAATATCCTCCGTAGGTGGTTAAGCACCAAACTTTGTCGTCCGCTTTCATTTCCCCCCAGGGTTGAACATGGGAGTGTCCCTAATTATTTTGTTGTTTAAATTGAAAACAAGTTGCTGGTACAAAGATTGTATCTTTGCTCAGTTGTCAGTTTTGTCCTGCAAACTTGAAAATTTCTCTTACATCAGTGCTGGGTTGGCTAACTTAAATCACCTTCTTGTAAAGCACCGATTTAAATTGTGATTTAAATTGATTGATATTCAGTTAAATCAGTATATTTACACTTTCTTAAAAAAGGCAAACTGTGTTAATTTTCAAATTGGTTCTAAACAGCAAAATCCCCCTCTCTGAGCCTTTCAGTTCCCAGTATTAATACATATGAATGTTCACTTGTTACAGACAATCTGGGTTGGTAGGATTTTTTATTTGTTCAATTTCATCCACTTGTTTTGATTCAATCAGCGTTTTGGATTAAGAGAACGAATTTGATGTGAAGGATTTATAATCATGATTTAATTCACTTCATTCAAATTGCCCACTGCAGAGTTTGACATGATAGAGGTACCAATGTACATCAACCTTTTGTCTGTACGAGTACATGTACACATGTATTTTATTGAGATTAGAAATCTTGGTCATTATGCAGTGCAACTAAAACCAGCAACATGATCTTAATAAACTTAAACCAAACTTAAAAATGATTAAACTTGAAAATTCTGTGCTACAGGAGCCAAAATGAGTCTGTTTTGCTCCTGAAGCTGGAAATCATCCATGGTGTATAAACTGCAAAAATTGGTCCCAGAAACCTTTGGGATGCAAAGACTTACGGTGGCAGTTGATAGGATACATACATGTACTGTAGGTGCAATTCAAGAATTCCTGAAAAAAATCCTCTTCTGTAAGATGGAAAAGGGATTAGTCTGAGACCTCAGTGGGAGATTTTTAATGCGCATTGAAAACACTATGTATGAGTTTATTAAATTCCACAAAATACATATACAGTTGAACCTCGTTAATAAGAGGTCCTTCGGACTTATTACCTTGTTATAACGATAACTTTATATTATCAGGAATTTTAAAAAAAAAAGGAGAAGCAAAAGATTGGGACCCAAAAATGTCCTCTTTGTAAGCATAATCTTGTATTAACTGTGATCTATTAATGAGGTTCAAATGTACCCAAAAAAATATAGTGCCTCAATAAGTACATTGGCACACAGCTAAATTTTCATTGGCTAGAATAGATTTATTCATGCATTACTGATAATGATGTCTTCATCATAAATTTGTGACTTAATAAAAAATGAAGTTTGCTTCCCCTTCACGGAAGAGCAGTAACTATATATGTTGTAGAGAACACATGCGGTACATGAATCAGGCTACCAAGAAATACTACAAGTACGTCTCACTGCCATTACGTCTTCATTTCTTTATGTTGTATGTTTTTTTATTATGTGGTATACGATTGAATTTATGTCCAGCCGGCTCATGAGTCAGATCTGTAAGTTTAGCCAAGCATATCGGCTGATCGATGCATTTGCATTGTAACAAATGACATTAAAAGTCACAGTGGTACTGCTGATGGCAATATGATTACTTTGGCATCATCGCAGCTTTTAATGGCTCGTGATTAGAATCATTCTAAAGGGAAATACATCCAGTATCAATTAGTAAATTGAACGAAAGCCTGTGTATTGTCACAAATAAATATCCGCTGTCCACCATTTTTCCAAGAGATGACAAGCTGAATGGACTCTGTGCAGGAGATACATACGGAGGGAGCTTTTTTGCATCCAGCAGTGATCAACGCTGTTGTGGCAAAACATGAGATAGGCCAGAACTCAGTGGTATTCCAAGATTGGTTGATTTTCAGTTTTATTGACCGGATTTGAAGATACTGCAGACACAACGATTCAATGTCCACAACGACAGTGTGCCATTGATTTTGTAGAGCTGAAGTTTATTTCACCTTGGTACCTGGCAAATGGCATGAATGATATTTGTGTGTCATCATTGAGTAAATAGCCATGCATAGAGTTGATGGATATTTCTGTCACATCTGCATACATCAATCAGCATTCATGAAACCCTTGTGAAGAAACAAATCTTTTATGGTATTTTTTTTGCGTGGGACTGAAACCTATAATCTCCTGTGTTGTATAAAGTGCTGATGGTTTGGAGCACTTAACCCAGTGCGTACAGCATGTTTTGGTCTCTTCTTCATCCAATAGGCAGCCATGTTTGCTGTGACAGTGCGTGCAACAGACTCCTAGTTGTGCAGAAGTAAACTATTCTGGCATGCACAGTGGCATCTTCAACCTGCATTAATCAATGTATTCTGTAGAAACTAGCCACTGTAGGCTTTGGGTATATTTTCTACATATTGCTACAGATTTTGTGAAAAGATGGATGAGCGAGACAACTTGACACATGACGCATCTAGTTGCGACAGGGAGGTGTACACATCCTACAGTGAGCGGCAGGTTTTTGCTGCTATCTTTGGCATCATCTCTGTGGTGGGAACTGTTGATAATGCCTTGGTCATAGCCGCTGTGATCCTATCCAGAAAACTCCACAACGCTACAAACATGTTTGTGCTGAACCTGAGTATAGCTGACTTTTTGACCTGTATCTATACCATCCCAATCAACATGGTGGCAGTTTTGAGTGAGGACAACTGGCCCCCGCCTAACGCCCCCTGCAAACTCGCAGGCTTCTTGCTGGTACTCTGTTCCAGTTGCAGCCTGAACAACCTGGCCTGTATTGCCATCAACAGGTGACGGACCTTGGCTGGGATTATCCTGACATGGCTGGTGCCCTTGGCTGTCGTGATTTTCCCGGCTTTGAGTGGCATCATGGAAATCAATTTTAATCCTAATTCTTCACTCTGCACATGGATCCTGACTGGTTCTGTTGATGT